GCACTGGCCAGCAGTAGTCAGAACTGTCAAGGTGTAATTTGTCCAGGGTGAGTGAACAAGTGGGACCCTGAAGTCGCACCACAGAGGAGAGATGAAAGTCAAAACCAATGACTTGAGCCAAGAATCTCATTGAGACAGGAAAGACTATCATTGTCCACTGAAAGTATCAGCCTAAACAAGGAAGTTTTAAAGAAGCTGTCATATAGCTAATGGTTATTCTGGGTGAAAGAAAACCATCTAATGTCTTGAGTGGAACTCACTACCCAGTGAGATGCTCCAACCTGTAGCCATGACAGCTCATCACAGAAAGAAACTCATTACAACAAAATTTTAAGTTCCTGGTTCTAGATCTGGCAGCTCCTGGCATAAATGCTGAAAACGTCACTGCTTGGTTTTTTTGATTATAGGAAACGCAAACTGGAGGGACATGAGACAGTCTTAAAGACAGATGTGTCTTCACAAACAGTAAATTGCCTAGACTGAGGTAACACTTGGTACTTCAAAAACATTGAAGTATTGCACAAGGTAAGGATTATTAGGACAACTGAAAACCTGTGTGTGGCAATCTGCCCATTTTGAGCAAGCCTCTATGTAAAAATCTATTTTTAATTACCTACAACAGGTTTGCATAAGACCTCTACACCTGTCTAGTGGACAGAGTGCTAGTGTGATGGGCAGTTAAAGGACAGAATGCTGATTGGCTAGTATGACTGGAATGTTTGGGAGTGGGGGGAGGTGCCAAGAAGTGACAGTTGAGTCCGAATCAGGAAAAAAATCAGAAACGTTAGATTAGACAGAGCTGAGAATGGAAAAGAGAGCTAGAAGTCTGTTTCATAGCTTGTCAGGAAAAGTAGTGCTAGAATTTATTAAGAGAAGTCTGTCTATAGAGTTCAGATGGGTTTGTCAAAAAGACTGACAGTCTGTAAAGAAAGTATTTTGATCTCTAAATACAGAAGAAATACATTACATTTTGCTGTTGTTTTAACTCTTCCATTCATACTTTGGACCGTATCTTTCCCTTCATCCTTAAGAACCCCGTCGATACAAATCCGATTTTGTTCATTTAAACCAGCTCTCCTCATTATTTTCTTTATGTGTAACCAGGAAAAACTAACTGAGATTATTACCAAATAAAAATACACCCGTGTGACCTGCAGCTATGGTTTATCAGTAGGAACACAGAGTAGAATTGTAACGGAGACATTCTTTCACTAAGCACCTGAATTTTCTAAGACACCTTACTTGGGACAAAGGAGGCTTTCGCAGTATAGAAAGGACAACCCCAAAATACTTGGTTGTGGGTTTGGGGTATGGTTGTTTTTGCAGTGTAGAAGGTGCCTGAGGTGATACCTGTGACCCCCGGAGACTGTGTGACCTAGCTAGTGTGAAAATTAGTGAAAAGGTCAGAGCCTCCTTGGGTGAAAATGTTGCACCATGGATGTTTTGATAGTTCATTGACTAAATTCTAAACTGCTGAAGTTCTAAAATTTGTACTTCAAACAAGTATACTGTATATCAACATCTGTACCATCACAGAATCTTAAATTATGATCTCTCACTGGCATTTCTGAGGTGTTATAATGATAAAACTATTTTAAATCAATGCCTTGGGCTTTTACCACTCTGGTATTACAAAAGTGAATCTCTGAAACATCCCTCTGGAATTATATGATCTTGCTATAGGTATCTATGCTTCCTTCTGTCCAAGTTGGATAAGTGCAATGTACTACATGTGGAACTGCCTTTGAAAAGTATATGGAAACTACAACTGGTTCAGAATATGGTGGGTATGTTATTCACTGATATATCTTGTATTTAACACATTCTACTAGTACTTACAGGCCAAAACCCTGTTCCATAAATTATGTCTGTGATGATATTGGCACAGGAAGATTTTTGGCAACTAAAGATTTTGGTATTTAAAGTGAAGGAGACTGCTCGTAACTAAAGAATTCTTGCTTGCTTTCCAGGACTTGCATGGCTTGTATACAATATGACTGATTACATGCCAGCCAAACAAGCTGTAGGACAGAAGCAGGAACTCTTTAATTACTGGAAATTTCCTCCTGATGGGGAAGCCTCAGAAAAAATGGGGACAGTAATTGGGTGAAAACTAGAGTGGGGGAGAGGATCTTTTGAGGGCAGGCAGGTGGCAAAATGCACTTCTATACAGCCCTATTAACAGCATACATCACATGGAGCATTTGTTCAGTCCCTACACTATAACTTGGATTTTTGAAAGACTCACTGCCAGCTCATCAGGGCTGACTTGTTTAGCTCTTGTGCTACTTCTGCCAGAGCTTGTGCAACAAGAAGGCCCATGAGTTTCAGTGCAGGTATTCTACTTCCTGCTTTGCCACAAAAGGCAGAAGTAACTCAAGTGCATGAAGTTACAATCTCTCTCCCTCCCCTCTTGCACCTAGTGTAACAGCATAGCGCAAGCACAATGTATAGATAAACACCTTCATTCAACTGGCTCAGTCAGTCCTGGTGCCAGGTTCACATATTGCATTTGAGCAAGGGCAAGGTTTGAGTAGTAGAGGAAATAATTAATTTACCAATATCCTGAAGTGGTTAACTTATAAAGCCACTTCACAATACTGGTAAATTCAAACCAGAAGGCTTGTTTTGGACCAGTTCCAGACAATGTATAGACAAACACCTTCATTCAACTGGCTCAGTCAGTCCTGGTGCCAGGTTCAAATATTGCATTTGAGCAAGGGCAAGGTTTGAGTAGTAGAGGAAATAATTAATTTACCAATATCCTGAAGTGGTTAACTTATAAAGCCACTTCACAATACTGGTAAATTCAAACCAGAAGGCTTGTTTTGGACCAGTTCCAGTGGTCACTGATCCAAACCAGAGCAATCTCATCTGTACCAAAATAAGAAGCCACTGACAGCAGCTCAGAAAGTTATAGGCAAGATTGCTCTGTGGGCAGGCTGATTCACTCCAACAAAGACATCTTCTGATCAGTGTCTTTAAGAACGAACCAACCCATCCCTGCAGTGAACCAAAGAGCACACAAAAGCCTGTGTAATCAGCCTCTATATCTCGCCATTTGAGCTTCCTGGGGTTTTAAGATTTTTGAAGAAAGCCTTTCTTTTGGGTCCTACAGCCCACTTAGGCAGATCTATCTATCTATCTATCTATCTATCTATCTATCTATCTATCTAATGTGACCAAGAACCTTTTCAGTGGATGCTCATAGACTGTAGAATTCCCTTCCACAGAAGACTAAGCTATGCTTCTGCTGGCAGCTAAAGACCTTTCTTTTTAAGTAGGCTTTTAATAAATAAATTACTGCCAAGGAAGAAGCTTTAAAGAGGAAGTTGTCTCTGTTATCTTTTAAATGTTTTTTAAAATTGTTAAAGAGATTTCATTTAGTACTTTAAATGATTGATGTTTAATTGTTTCTGATTTAATATCTATCTATCTATCTATCTATCTATCTGTCTGTCTGTCTGTCTGTCTGTCTGTCTGTCTGTCTGTCTACCTAGATATAGATATATAGATATAGATATAGATATATGTCAAAAACTGACATACTTACAAAACCTTACTTATATATGTAAGCTGTCGTGGGTTCGTCTGTTGGAAGAACAATGGAGCAGAAATTAAGCAAATAAACAAATAGGTGTCCAGACTGTTAAGGAATGGTTCCCAACCTTGGATCCCTAGAAGTTCTTGCACTAGTCAGTCAAAAACTGACATACTTATACTGACATAAATAAATATAAGTACTGTATGTCAAAAACTGACATACTTACAAAAACTTACATATATATGTAAGTTGCCGTGGGTTCTTCTGTTGGAAGAACCTTGGAGCAGAAATTAAGCAAATAAATAGGTGTCCAGACTGTAAAGGAATGGTTCAGAACCTTGGATCCCTAGAAGTTCTTGCACTAAAACTCCCATAAGCCTTCATCACTAGCTGTGCTGGCCAGTATTTCTGGTATTTTATAGTCCAAGAACATCCAAGAGGTTGGGAACCACTGCTTTAAAGTTACCACCCCACACAAAACATAAATTTTCCTCTTCACCAGTGCAACTTCTCCTGAAATTTATCTCACCACCTGGAGACCCACAGAAGCACAGAAATTCTCTGAGACGTCAGCCGGCATCATGAGACCTGCCAATACTATAACTAATACATTTCTGAGATTTTTGCTATTTGGGGCTTGTTGAACTCGTAACCCAAAAGCCAGATTCAATCATACCCATGTGTTGCTTGGCAATACCTCTATTTCTGTAGTCCTACAGAAGAGTACCTTTACCTTTAGATTTATTAGAGGGCAACTGCACATGCCTGTATTCTGTTTGGTAGGGAAAGTGGCCACCAATATGAGATTGCTCAATAATATTTTCTGAATTTGATTTCTCAAGCAGGCAGTCACTTCAGTGACAGAAAATATCCAACAGCATAATACCAAAGTAGGTTGTGTTTTTTGGAAGGAAGACAATTTCCTCTCCCCACTGAAGTTCATAATGTATCTCCTCTAGCAAAAATCAAAACAAGCAACATTTAAGTCAGACTAGAGCAGATTTTGGGGGGCTGTATCGTGAGCTGCAGGAGGAAGAGGTCATTGCCTTCTTCCCCATTGCACTGGTGGATATCTACAATCCTACAATTACAGGCAAAAAGTCAGAAGTTATTACAGAAAGAAACCAACTAAATCATTCTGAAAATAAAGACAGGTCTAAATGCTTGCAACTCAAATTCGTTCAGAGATGGAAATTTATATGCTCAGGCAGCTCCTTCCATGGATTAGGTATGTATAAATGAGATGAAGAAAAAGTGTACTGAATAATTCTATAATGCTATAGTTATAAACAAGGCATTTGCATTGCATTACTAATTAAAAATAAAAAAGGGTTTTTGAATTTTGCCACTTCCTAAACAAACAGTGCTATATTTCACTTCAGCAAAATATCTATGTTTTACCTATAGGTACTTCTGAATTTAAAATGTCATGTATTCCGTAGAGCACTGGCCTTACTTGTTTTCATTGGTGGCATCATACCGAGGCATGGGGTCAATATCATTACCATTGACATCAAAACTGGCATCTGGGTCCTGTAGCCGACAGGGAAGGGAGGTGGAAAGAGAAATGGAAAGAGAATGAACTGCAGATCTTCATTAATTAGCCATTGACTCATCTAGCTGAAACATTCCTCAGCAGGTTTCTACAGGAGTGTAATTAGGTTAACTAACATTCCTGTGGTTTTGTGGTGGCTGCTTGTGTTAAGGAAGAGCTAAATATTAAAAACAAATATTTTGTGAAATTGTGTTAAGGAAATGAAGTTGCATTAATGCACCCTCTTCAAATTGGTTCCAAAACCAACATTTTAATTTAAACAGTGTTTTTGAAATTTAATTTATTGAAATTCAAACTTCCTTTCTGCATCTAAACATTTTTACCATAATAATGAATAGTTCATTCCCCAAAACCATAACATTCTTCTCATAAAAAGGCATTGCTACTGAATAATTACAAAAAAGCATTATTAGCCATAAGAAAATATGTCCATATGTCAAATTTAATCATAAACTTAAAAGAAAAATACATTTGGAAAATCATATCTTTATTAATAGCAGCTATTAAATTACATTTTTGAAAATATCTTCAGAAATCTTAGGCAAGTTGTTAAGGCTATTGTTTTGTGTCTTTTCCACAATTACCTTTAGATTACAATGTAAATAGCTATTTGTGACTCCATTTAATTGAGGTGGTTGAACAAAATTGCCAGTTGTTTTTTAAAAATTTCATCAGTGATCATTAATAGTTAATAAAATTTGCTCCAAGGTAAACTTTTCAGAGCAAACAACATAGGAAATTAAATTAATATAAATAGTTGGACTGGGATAAAATTACTAATGTTCAAAGCTAAGAACACTATGTAAAATAAACTTAATATGTATCCTTTAAGCATCAAGGATTAAAATTTTATTTGTAAAGAAGTAATCACCGCCAATGTAAGATGTTCAAACCACCCCTGGCCACCTTCCAAAATTGTATCCTGTCACTGAGTTGTTTGGGTCCCATAACTGGGAGAAAGGCAGCATAGAAATAAAATAAAATATCTTTTGCTTTAAAAACAAATATTCACAGTAATACAAAACTATCAGAATTGTTAACCCTGGCAATTAGGTTTTAAAAATTACCAACTGCAAATATTTAATGCTCTAAACTTTGAAAAATATATGCAGTTGCAAGTAAAATTTGTGGAGGTACTTAATGTTGTATTAAAACTTCAGAATAGTGAACAACCTATTTTGCTTTAATTTGTATATATTTAGAGAACAATCACTTGCAGAATTTAAAAAAATGATGCAGATATTAAAAATGATGTATTTCAGCACTGTGGCAGAATATAGGAATATATTCTCAGGATGAGCCACTCATTGATTCAAGCAGCAGTTATCAATCAGTAATAGAAATTTTGCAGAAAATACCTCTTGAGAGATTGACATTTTTACTTCTCTCTTGTTCTCACAGTACCTGGACTTATTTATTTTTATTTTATTTTATTGGATTTCTACCCTGCCCATCCTGACCAAAGGCCTACTCTGGGCAGCAGGAACTAGCTTAACACATGGATCAATAATATGCTGAATGCTAGTTGTGAGTGGTCCACTGATTCAGAATGTTGCTCTCTTGCAAAATACTCCACCACAAATAGGCTTGTAGATTTCTTGAAATAAAACATGTTGGGGGGTGAAAGGTAATAGGCCCCGAGAGAGTATGTTGAGATTATAGCCTGTGACAGGTCCACAGGCAAAGTCCAGTGACTTTTGGTGGTGCCCACAGTACAAACATATTAATATAAGGTTTACACCTTTAACCTTTTTCTTCCTGTGAAGTTTTTTACTAGCAGCAAGACTTTTACTTTTCTTTCTCTTTTTTTCTGATTGGTTAGTGAAGATCATGTCATGTCATAGGCATCCTTCAGTCTCAAGAGACTGTGGGATCGTGCTCTGCATGGAGGACTTGGAATAGCAACTAGTGTGGCTGAGAAGGCCAGTTCAAGAGTGACAATCCCTTCCACACTGAGGACAAATATAATCTGTCCCCTGTCCAGCTCCCTGATTTTGCTGCTTTCGTGACTGCCTCTTTGCCTCAGCCTGCTGGGCGAGGGTCTCTTCAAACTGGGATTGGCCATGATGCACCACATGCCTCCATGCTGAGCACTCAGATGTCAGGGTTTCCCATCTGTTGAGATCCATTTCCAAGGACTTCAGATCCAGCTAGTCAAGATAATCTGCATGTAAATAATGTTAACATTCTACGAGTTTCAGCTGAGATAATTTACTTTATAAGACTCAATTTCTTCTTACAGGATCTTATATTTAAGCATACAAATCTTATAGAAGCAACTGTCTATATTATTCCCTTGAAAGAGAATAAGAGAAATATTATGTTGGTCTGGAAAGTCTTAAAAATGAATTATTTCCAGCAATAACTTGTCTAAATTAAAGTTGCACCAAAGATTTTTTCCCTTCATCTTCTGCAATTTGAGAGGTGCATGGCAGTGAAACAAAGATGCCTGCAAAATTCGGGAAGAACTTATATATTAAAAATTCATTGAGCAGTGTGAAAGTTCAAAAGGAGCCTCTTTCTTGTCAGAAACAAACACGACACGTTCCGTTTTTCGAAAATCAAAACTAGGGTTTATTGGAACATCAAACAAAGCTTCTCCCCCTTTGTAATCTCCAACGGCTTTATCTCTCACCGCCAACGGGTCTAGTGAGGACATCCAAACATCTTGTAAGAATGGATTGAACATAGATTCATTCCACAGACCCTTAGTAAAAGGGTTTGTGTCCTCTAAATCAAGTGAGTTCAAACCAGTGTCTATGAAAGGAAGGGTCTCCTCATCTTCCAGACCAAAGGGGTTGTCTCCCTCTGTGAAGGGTACCCAGGGTCTGGTGAATACCTCCTCCGGTGAGCCTCCTCCAGATGCCATGCCCTTCTCTATCGTTCTTCCCTCTCCACAGCTTCTTTCTCCTCTCTCAATCTTCTACGCCATTCCCTGGCCTCTGATTCCCCAGTATGAGGGACGAGGAGGCAGACCTCTCGTCCGCCTGTAATCCGCCTCCTCCCGAGGCACTTGGACCTTTTCACACTTCCCTGTCCAGGGATCCTCCACCCATATTAACTCCCAACCCTCCGGTATTTCATCTCCCCTCCCTTTTATATCACCACTTCCCGCCTCTACTAACGGCCAGCCCCTTTCCTCTGTTCCCGCCTTTTCAGTCCCAGTTTGGGTGGATATAGATATCTTTTCCATCCCCTGTTTCAGGTCCTGGGTGTCTACTCCCTGCTGGGCTGTCACGACACGAGGGGCTGGTGGGTCTGTCTGTACCTCTTGTTCTCTCTTAGAGGAGGACGACACTCCAGCGAGGGCTTCAACCCCCTCACCTCTCATCTCACAAGCAGATAGGGGAAATACTGCCAATAGTGTAATGTAACCTGTAACTACCTGTGACAGCATAAGAGAAAGACAGCACTGACAATTGCTTATGTGTATAGTGTTTTGATTGTGTTCACTATGTGCTCAGGCATAATTTAAAATATTGCCACAAATGATCCCAGATATGAATCAGATATCTCTGAATGTCAAGAATGTTAACAAGAATCTCTTGTGTTGACAGAAAATGGAATGTCCAATTTTAATTATCATCAACCAGAGTATAAAATGAAGCTAATAGGGACAATGAAGAAAATAATCCAGGCTGACAGGAACACCTCAGCATCTAATAATGGCATATGAGGCTGGAAAGCACAATGGCTGAAGTCCTGCTGTGCAATTAAACAACCTAACTTTTTGCCACAAGTTGAGAAATCTCCATAGACCTTATCTGTTGCACACCAAGTTGCCTGACTCAGCATGTAACAGGTAATGTCTACAGAGATTTCTTAACTTATAACAATTCTCTTCCAAAAGTTATGTTGTCTTTGTAATTTTGCAATAGGATTTCAGCCATGAACCCTATGTGTCGGCAGAAACAAATAGTGACTCTAGAGACAGAACTGACAGCTAACATTAATGGTTCAAGAGTAGTGGAGCATGTCATAGCTACCTCATATTGATAATCAAAATAATGATTCCTCTTGATAAGCAAACATAGGTGAACTGGGGATTCTGCCAATATTTTTATTTGGTAATTGAAACATACAAGACCAATGTTCAAGCATGTTGACAATGTGTTTCACTACTATCAAAGAAGATCAATTAAGTCTTGCTCTCATCAGAAATGTATGCAGACCTCCACACCCATGTACTGAGTCATTTTGAACAGGAACGTTTCTCTACTGAAAAACTGAAAAACTTTCCTGACATTGCCTGAGAATAAGACAAGTCTCTCCTTTCTTATCACTTCAGCTCATATTCATATGAGAACCTTAATGTTGTTGATGATGCAGAATTTGTAGATCACAGGAAGACAACATTACCCACCACCTCCCAGTTTAGCACAATTGTAGCCATCATGAACAATATTGTTGATAACTTTTCTAGTTTCAGCTTCAGACAAAGAGCCTCTGGTGTACCACTTCAACAAGATGAAGCATACCAAGTTATTGTTGATGACTGACAGTGCAAAGAAGAGAAATTATATTCCAGTCCACACTGTTTGTAGCCAGCTGTGAGTGACTGAGGCACCCTAGATTGCATGTTATCGGGGTGTCAGATATAAGTCTCTTTCATCGCAACTATAGCAATATATGCAGCATGGAATTCTTATAAGCAACAGAGTTGGTTCAGTATTTGCTATTCTCTTGCTTTTTAGGCTGGACTACAAATTCTTCTGAGAAATTTGTCACAGAGTTGTACAGCACAGGAGCTGCCTGGATACCTTAGTGAGTTAGGTATCTTTCTGCGGAGTCAGAGGTTGTGATTCTCTCCCGCAAGCTCCCAGGGTACCCCTAGAAGAAAAGAATGGTGAACCACTTCTACTGACCATAAAGCAGAATTGAATTGATGGCATGTAATTATTATTATTGTGCAGTACAGGAAGGGAAGATTTAACACTCATGCCAGATGTGAGCTGTGAGGCTTGCCAACCAAGCCCATGGCCTTCTGTCTGTCTTATTCCATTGCCAAGAGAAACTCAGCACTGCCAGGAGCACTTGAATGGGTTCCTGCTTAGGATGGATATGTATCTGTGATTTTTCCACCTTACATTAACTTTTTGCTTTGAATGTGTTTTAACCTTTTTCCTTATGATATAATAAAGTCTGTTGCCTTTCTAAATGTAATCCAGTTTGTCCATCACCCATCTGCTTGCTTCATATAATGGACAAGAAACGCAAAAGCACACTCTTAGGCTTAAAGTTTTTTTGTTTTGTTTTGTTTTTGGCGTTCCATTGTATATCACCCATGGAAAGGGACAGATCTCGCAACAGAGTAAACAAACATTTCCTTCATTTTGGATGGGTAAAGGGGGGGGAGGTGGTGGCAACTACCAATCAAGGTGATAGAAAAGACCCCTCAGCTTTTCAGAGATGCTGGTTACAGAATAGGCAACATGGGAATAAATGCAACCAAGATACAGAACTTCTGCTGTATTTGCTACATGCTGTTCTTAGGAAGGGCTACAATATCTTTTGAGGAATTTGGCATACAGCTGTAGCACAGGACAGGAAGTTCTGATTCATGATTTGGATGCAAGCTGCAATACTTGCCAACCAGGCTCAATCTGCCTTGCCCTGGGAAGACTTAGCACAGCCAGGGTCATTTGAAAAAGTTCATGCTTGTGAGGAAAAAAGTAAACCTTCTTGAAATGCCACAATCCATGAGATTCCACCTCTACTTCAAGGAGGCTTTGAAAAAGCCATAGATGCTAATAGCAATTTTTAAAAGCCTAATTGCAATTTTAGCTGAACTTTCAAGGGACCTACTACTATAGAGGAAAGGGTTAACTCTCCCGAGTTCTACTCACCAAGAGCCAAAATAGTATATGAACTAAAGAAAGATTTCCCATTCACTGTACAGGGTCAGATAAATTTAGTGATCTATCAATATTCACTTTAATCCTGTATGTTAGCAATGGTCTTAACTGTTAAAATATTTTATTGCATATGATTAACAAATTGTTCTGATTTAGACAGTGTGACTATAACTGTATGCTATTTGGTAAGATTAACGGCCTGGATATTTTGCTTACTGCCTTCAATGCTCACTTGCAGCACGAGTCACTGCCACCTGCGCACAACAGGATAGTATCCATTTTGCACATATGCAAGTACATCAGCCTGTGAGCTTTGGTTCGAGAAGAAGGTTTGCCTTTCATACTTAACATTTCACACTATTTCTCAGACTTGTCTACATGTAGTAGTGTGGATCTGCAGCACAGGAAGTGGCAACCAGCTGCATAAGTACAAAAAAGCATAAACATCTGTAAACTTGTGTTACTTCTCTACCAGTCTCAATAGCTATATTTAATTATTATGAATAAACCCTGATTAGTTCTTTGTTGAAAAATGTTATTGTATAATAATCACTCAGTGCTTCAGGTCTCTTGACTGTGGAACCAGAGGTTGGGAGTTTGATTTTCCACTGTGCCTCCTTGATAGGGGCTGAACTTAATGATTCACAGGGCCCTTTCTATCTTTGAAGTTCCAAGACTTCATATGTTTATCATTTTTTTAATTTTTATTTCAAATGAAAAAAAAAATTCAGTCAGCCTGTGAGCTGTGACAGTTCGTCTCAAAGCTGCAAGTTAACTAATGCCCATCAATGTCATAATTTTAAAATTGAAAGCCCTATGCTTTTAGTTAATGTTACATTTAATTTATAAGTCATATGGAATAATTAAAAACATTTATTTGTGAAATATATAATATTAAATTTTCTATCACAAAATCTCAACATTTTCAAAACAACATCATTTCAAATCATTAAAATTTGGCAAAAACGTACAAGCTGCAATGTCACTTTTATAAAATCAATATTGGGTAACATTTTTGTATACTTTTTTTACTGAATTTTTAAGTACAGTAAAGCCACTATTCTGGGGTTGTTGATTGTTTCACTTAACTTTTATGGACCATAGAAACAGCAAGCATTAGTTGCTTTTTAAATTGCTTGGACAGTCTCTTGAATTCAGTTTTGGCTTTCAATAGAGAACAGTGATTTTCGAATTCATCATGGTCACATTAGTTTATATATGTATTTCCTGAGAATTAATGAAAAATGCCACTCAGACTTCATTTGGAGGAACATTAGATTAGGCTATTATTAGGTATGCTTAGAACTGCAGCCTAAGGATGAATTCACATAACCATATTATGAGACTGTCAAAGTAGGTTACATACATCCTACTACTAATGCAAATTCTTGCTTGTAAAAAATGAGGTAAAGCACAAAACTGTCATTTCAGGCCTGAATCCATTCTCAGCTATCAGATCTCAAAAAACTTTGAATCATTTCCAGTACTTCAATAGACAAGGTTACTATCTGAAATGATCAGAGTGGCTATCTCTACAACTTAAAAAGTTGAAAGTGATTTTGTGGGGAACATGAATAAACAGAAGAAATAAAGAATGCAGTAAGCAGAGTAAGAATAAGATATTACAGATCGCTGTAATATCCTGGGAAGTATCTTACAGTAGAACCTATTTGAGATTAGCTGTCATGAAACTTTGCAGGATCCAAAGTAAGAGGTGACAGAAGCTTTTCCAAATTTTGAAATTATGAATCTTTTCTACCAGAAAGGCATGTGGATAGATAAGTGATTGATATGGATGTGAGTAAAAGAAACCACAGAAGTACTGAAGGTGGGGAAAAAAACAAAGGCCAGTGGGAAACTGCAGTGACTTATCAAAAGCTTTTCCAATATTAATGAAAGCATAGACACGTGTGATGTAATCTATCCTAGCCTCTTGATCAATGTACCTTAAAGTTGCATTCCAGAGTTGACTCTAACAATCACGAGCATTTTGAAACTAGAGACTCCTAAGACTTGTCAGAGTATAGAAATTTTATAAGCCTGAACCTGTATATGTGTTTCATTAACGAGCTGCCATTGTGCACAGATGTGAGAATGCTGAATCACTCTGGAGCTGATGCAATGACTTGAAACCAGGAGAAGACCAGGTGCAAAAGGATGAAGTCACCTGCATTCTGATTGGACTGAACAAAGCCATGTACATGTATATAAGTGGGCTGTGTCTTTGCTTCTCTCTCTTCCTCCACGATCACTTGCTACCACGCATGCTGTCAGACTGTACAAAGAGTTCCTGCCGTGCTGTTAAGATACCTGCCTGTATATAACTGTAAATACGTGTAAATACAACCATCTTGCAACAAAAGAATAACTCTGTGTTTTCTACTGTCGCCAAAACCGTAACAAGACTGAGGGCAGATTCTATGAAAGTGAAAACAAAAAACCAGGAGACAATTCTGTGGAGCCTCTGGTTTCAGGATATCTCTAAGTATTTTGGACTACACCCAACTGTAAGTCTCCACTAGAGTAGACCTAGCAAATCAATATGACTTACATGTATGTTGACTTAACAAGTCCAGTTTATTCAGGGGTCTACAGCAGTATCAATTGGAATTTTCTGACTATCTCTAGGGATAAGAAATAAGTGAAACATTGACATAATATTATTAGGAATTAATGCTCTCCCTGTATGTTTTTGTAATGTACCATCAAATTGGAACTGACTTATAATGACTTTAATTGGGTTTTCAAGGAAAATTAGATGTTTAAGGAGTGGTTTTACCAATTGCACTCTTCCAGTGAGTTTCCATGGCTGAGTGGAGATTTGAACCCAGGCCTTCTGAGTTTTAGTCAGTCACTATGCACTACACCACACTGGGTATCCTCTCCCTGTATAGCTAAACTGAAGGATGAAAATATAATGTTTATCATTTCATTCTTTATGGTTAAGTGTTCCTTCCCTTTTCTGACATTTCCTTTCACCACCCCAGTCCTTTCAAATAGCTCTAGTATAATAATGTACTATCACTCAACAGAATAAAATAATCTATGAAGCACATTGGAAACTCACATAATTCTGCATCAGGTCTGGGTGGTTTCTCTCAATTCCATCATCCAAAATGGTGACCACGATGTTCTTTCCAGTGTAGCCCCTCTTCCAGGCTCCTACAATATTCATATCTGACTGACAGAGGTTCGTATTATCACTGCAGTGCTAAAGGAATGGGGGAGGGAAGCAAAACAAAACAAGTAGGAGATTAATGAACAATGTGAGGCACAGAGATATTAGAATATCCATTAGTATAACCAATTAAAATATCAGCAAATAGATATATTGATTTAAACTGGAGAGACAGAAAATCAATGTTCTGACTAACAAACAGCAAGAGAACTTTAGAAGAATACTACAGTAAATGAAATGAAAATTGTCAGAGCTAGTTATTTCTTTTGAGTTGCTCATCATATGGAATAGTTATTTGACCATTTGATTGCTATTGTTTCTCCTTAAAAACCAGACAGACAATAAAAATGGCTTTTTTCTTGGCATTCACACATAACTAAATGCATAGGACAAAAGTAGACAAAGTGCTTGTATGGAATAGCCATGGAAACACCAAAAATGCTTGTGTAGGGCACAGATGTGGGAACGGCTGGGTTATGTAGTATTTAATCCCTGAATTAGTTGTCTCGAATCTTAGCCAGATCCCTTTGTATCCTCAAAAAAAGAATGGGGTTCTTGGCATGTTTAGTGCCATATCAGCAGGAGATGAACCTGTAACCAAAACAATTCATAAAATACTTGCAGGTGCTTACTGAATTGCAGCTAACTATAAGAAAAAATTGGATACTACTTTTATGTTGAATGGAAATTGATCAATTTTCTCTCATTATTCTGCATGGATAAGGCCAATTGATAAAGAAACACAGAAGACAGTTTGAGACTCATTGCCCCCACCCCATCTCCCAGTGCCATGGAGAGTGAGAATCCTTTTAATGAGTATTCTATTCAGACCCTCAGTGGTAGTGCTTTGCTCCAGCTCCCCTGGGCTCAGTGTGAATGAGCAGAAAAGGGAAAAAATAAATTCTTACAGCTAGTATCATAGCAACATATGCTAGCTACAAGAGCTCTCAGAGTTCCTCCACTCTTGTTTCCATATCCCCTTTCTTGTTGCTACACACAACACCATATAATGGGCTAGTCTACTTTAGAATTTCAAAGGTGACAGGTACCTTTTGTCCAAATTTTGTCCAAACTGATTTCCATTTTTTATGTTCTGTGTACAACCTCATGAAATAAAATTGTTTTCACAAGAATTTCTACCAAGTAATTACAGATTCGAGTTTTGAGCTTTTGTTCCTTCTTCACTCATTTGTTGTTGTAATATGCAGTCAGGTCAGAACCGAATTATAGCAACCCTAAAAGGGCTTTCAAGGTAAGTGAGATATTTAAGGAGTGGTTTTATCATTTTCACATCCCCAGTGAGTTTCCATGGCTGGGCAGGTATTTGAACCCAGGCCTCCTGAGTTCTAGACCATCACTCTATGCACGACAACACACTGAGTATTTTCTCTGCTTTAGTGTCCTGAATTAACAAGTCATTTTACTGCACAGTTATATTCAGAGTTCACAAATTCACCTACACTATTTCACCATCCAGATATTAATGTGATACTTACTTTATTGCAATCAAAGTCAGTGGTCATATGCAAGTATGTCACACATCCAAAAATAAAGGAGAGATTAGTAAACTATGACAAATGAAATATGATTTGGATGAAAGTACATAGTAATTCAAAGCAATTTCCTTGCTCTCCCTTTTCATATAATTTCCCATTTGCCTGTCTAAGTAAAACTGTTAAGTCCTACTGATCACAGTACGAAAAAACCCTAAGCATTTACTTTAAACCTGTCCACTAAAATCAACTAAACTTAAAAGTGCTTCACTGTGGAAAAATTATACCCATTGTGAGTGTTGTTAATCACGCCCACCAACTCTTCCATGATCGCTTTGTGCCCAGAAGGCCATAAAAATGCACCTATAGCTTATTTCTGTTCTCTAGAAAACTTTATGTTGGAAGATCAAAAGTTTATAGGTTTCTTACTCATAATAATTTTAAAAATTGTATTAATGTACGATTATTTCTGCAGCGGATTAACTCCCAGTAGGTAAGAGATAGCCTGTCTGTGGTGAAAGTCTGATTCCCAGAGAAAAACTATGAGGGTCAAAATGACTCTTTGCCCCCTCTAAAAACTTCAGGGCTGAAAGCAGAAGATCATGCTTTTCTCAAGGCACTTGTATTCTCTGAAGGCAGAGCAGAAGAGAGCGTGCAACAGTCCTTACCCAGTGGAGTAAAAAACCAAACCAAAACAGAAGTGAAATTAGGAGAGCAAAGGGAAGTTGACTCTCCCTTTGCTGCCACAGGAATCACAGCAGCAGGAGGAAAATGAGTTCAAATAAATATGCCTTTACGGCCTTTATTTGATCCCAGTTCCCACTCCCTTGAAATTATCACAGTAGGAAGGTTTAGCAGCTTCTAGTGATTTCCCGAGCAAAGGTAACAGCTGTTTCAATGTTGCTTTCATATTCTGACTCTTTGAACCTGTTGGAGTTTTTACAACCTCCCATGCTGCATGTGGTTTGAGTGACTGGGAAGGACTTTTCTGGGCTGGGTGATTGTCAAGTCTATCCAGCACGAAGCAATCCCCTCTAAGTGTCTCCTTTCCCTCTTTCATTTGTTAGAAGTCAATCTGTTGTTTATTTGCTGTTGATCCGTTAACAATTCTAAGTAAATAAAGTTTTTTTTTAATTCTTTCTCCTACAAATGTCTCAGAGTGAGCTACTGAGGCCTTAAGTGCTAGTTCATGAAAAAGGAGGGGACTATCTGGGGAACCTGTAGCTATTCTGTTCTGTGAGTCTCTGTACTTCTACTGCATACCAAAAAGAATTTTATCAGAAATTCAAGAGTCTGCAACAGAACCCACTTCTGTGTTTGCAACAGTTATTTTGGAGAAAAAGGGAGACTGAGCCATCCTGGTGTCAGCAAAACAACTGCAGGTTGTAATCTGTGTTTGTATGATGCTATTCAGAGAAAGGAAAAAGAACTATCCTTCCTCTACAAACTCCTTCAGTATTCCCACTTAGTTCACTTAATTAGTAGGTATTATAGATTTTATTGACAATTCTAACATGCACTTTGTATCCAAAAGTTTCTATGGTATGAAATGGGGCTCATGAAGCAGTATAGATATGCTGTCCTAGAAAGAAACATAGAAAGCTTCTGACCAACCAAAGCTTACTGTAATGTTTATTAGAATTAAAATTAAAGGGGGAAAGCCCATACTTAGGAGTACTCCACATACATATCCTCTATCCCTTATTTTAAACTAACTCCCTTGGTTCTCTTTCCAAAACACACTTGTTCTGGCTCCTGGCTACGTTTTTCCATCTTTCGCCAAGACTTGAAGAAATATATTTCATAGGCAACTCACAAAGGGAAGTGACTTAGAAATCCTGCTATTTGGCTCAGACAAGCCATGTACCTTGTGCTGTAGAAAAGGGTGCGAGATTATAAACTCTCTTTCCTTGAAAAGTTTGGAAGCCTGCCAGAAGACAGCAGTCTTTTGCCTCTCCTGATCGGAGCAGGCTGTCCTTGCCTGAACTTTTTGCTTTTTCAGCGGATGCAAGATACTTATTGCTATTGGCTTGTCTTCTTGAACCATGCCATGTAAGACAGAAGGGAAGCATTCACTCCCTTTTAATTGCCTTGACAGTAAAAGTCTACAAATTCAATCAGATTTTAAAAAGCAACACAGCTGGGTAGGCATCAGGAAATACACTGAAACAGAACTAAAAGGAAGTACAACCAGTGTATCCAGTATACAGCTGCAAACTCTAGAAAGCAGTAGAAAAAAGAGCTCTACCTCAACAATTCCTTCTATGGTCATAAGGTCTTTCCCCATCCTTCACTAACTGTGCAGCAATTTTGCAGACTTGCTTCTTACAGCATGTGTAAAAGTAGGCACTTAATGACAGGACCAGAGCAGCATGGGTGGGATAAAATGGCTGACTCTCATCTAATCTGCACTTGTTGTTAGATGTAGTTTTGTGCTGTCAAGTCACTTCCAATTTATGGTGACCACCATGAATTCATGACCTCAAAAGATAATGTCATTAACAGCCCTGCTCAGCTTTTGGAAACTCAAGGCTACAGATGCCTTCATTGAGTGTCAAGGTATAATTTACAGGCCTGAGCAGTACAAAGTGTCTTAATGAGCAGCCATACTAAACAGGTGTGCTGTAATGCTGAGTCATGATGACTCATAAAGTGCTGACTAATATGATTAGACACAGATAGTTGTGAATAAATGGACTCTGTACAGCAGATGTATTCTTCTTCCTGATGAGTATCATGCTGTCATGCTGCTGGTCTGCACTTCTGTATATAGTCTGTAAATACACATCTGGTGCTGGGGAAGCTGCTTCTGTGTGCGTGATTCATTTAACCACCTGGACCAGAAGTTACTCTGCTGATTTTTCACGTTCTTGCACTAACATTGAGTCAACCCACCTCTTATTTGGTCTTCTACTACTGTCAACTTTTTTTGAGCATTATTGCCTTTTCCTGTAAGTTTTCTCTTCTCATTATGTGTCCACAATATGATAGCTTCTGTTTAGTCATTTGAGTATCCAGTGTGGTGTGGTAGATAGAGTGATGTTCTTGGACACTGGAGACCAGGGTCTGAATCCCCACTCAGCCACGGAAACTCACTGGGGGAGTGGAACTGGTAAAATCACTCTTTAAACCTCTCACTGACCTTGAAAATCCTATTAGGAGTGCTATAAGGTATTTCCAACTTGATAGCACTTAATCAACAAACCAAATATTTGGTCATTTATGTTTCTAGTTCAGGTATGATATGATTTCTTTATGTGTAATGTATGCTATCAAGTCACTTCTGTCTACCCTCACAGGAGTTTCAAAGTATGTGACACATTTAAGGAATCCTTTTAACAGAGCCATCTGCCAGTGAGATTCCAGGCCAGAGGCTTTTGATACCATTAGCCATGATTTCTTCACGAACATGGGACTTGGAGGCAATGACTTGCAGTGATTCCAGTCCTTCCTAGAGGGGCAAACTCAGAAGATGGTGCTGGGAGACTTCTGTTCAATGCCCTAGCATTCGACTTGTGGCATCCCTCAGGGATCAGCTTT